TCCTGTCCTATAGTTTTTTCCTGTAATCTCGCCATAAACTCATCCACTCTTTCGTTTTGGCCTTGTTTTAATTGAAGAATGTTTACATCAAAAAGTCCTTGGGATTTTTCAAAACGTTTAAAAAATTCATCCTTTAATAGTTGTAATGAATTTTGAACAGTTTCCGAAAGTGTAGCAAACCATTGCTTAGGTATACCATCTGCCATAAAGAATGGAAAGGAATTGCATTGTTGTTGTTCACACATTTTTTGAATGAGTGTCCAACGGATAAAATATACCCACCATTGTGCTGCGGATGATTTTCCATCATAATTATTGAGGTTGATTCCTGATGGCATGTTAACGCTTACTTCCCTTATTACTTGAACTACTGCAGGTGTTGATGATGTTGATGCAGTTGAATCTGTTGATGCTGCTGATGCTGCTGATGTTGTTGATGCAGTTGATACTGTTGATGTTGTTGTCAAGGTTGATATGGTATCTGTTGATAGGACAGGTACTGTTGATGTTGTAGTGGCTGTTGAAGTTGAAGCTGTTGACGCTGAAGCTGTTGTCTCTGTTGCTTGTTGATGCACTCTTGCTTCTGGTCTTATTGTATCTTGACTGCGAAGAAGATAGCTATTCAGTGGTGCTGGCATTTGTACGTTGCTGATTTTATCTTCTTTCTTGTTTTGGGACTAGCTTTGGATCTTTCAGTCACTCCACCAAATGTCGTACTGACTTTTCTGCTGCGTCTGATGACTTTTAGCGCCTGGTGTAAAACAAGAGAAAGTTCTAGTAAATATAGATGTTTATTTCTTGAAATCAGTAATCAAAGTCTACAGATTTTACACAATAAAATAGCAAGTCTCACTTGATAATAAATTTAGAATTTCACAACTGAACTAAATTAAGGGACATAACTCTATGCAAATTTTAATCAATTAAATAAAACTTGCCCAAACTCTATTTTATCAAGTGAAACAGCTTTACAAAACTTTACGTACAGGTTAATGCATAATACAATATGTTAAATAAACCGAATCGTTTCAACTTAAATGGATACTTAATTTCAAATGTTTTGCATAATTATTTGTTGCTATGGAAACAATAAACTTTTAAAATTAATAAAATCTTTGTCATACTATCTTAATATTTAATCACATAAAATCTAATACCAAATACAATTTATTTATGAATAAATTGGTATGTAAAATAACCTTGCATAATGCTTAAACAGTATTTACTCCTTTTGCAAAATATTAAAATAAAGAATATACCCATGTTGCTAAGCAACAAACATGTACTTCTGACACGAGTTCCGTGTATGTGTGTAATACAATAAATTAACTAAATTCAACTTAGATATAAGTTCTAAAGTCAATTCAAATGTTCAAACAATTTTGTAAACAAACTGAAATCCTGCGGACAAGTGTCGCTTTCCAAAACCTAATTTATGAACTAAATATGCAATCTATATACAAAATATAAAAACACAACTTACAGAATAATGAAGTAGAAAATAAGGTTTCATGTCTTTGTTATTTAGCTTTCGATAAAACTCTATAATCATTGCTTTATCAACAAAAGACATTTCTCCCGGCAAATAAAAATTACAAATTATCTCCCCTGGACATTATAACACTTAAAAGTTACTACGGATACAATGTGAAATATTTCCGGACTTTCAATAAACTTTTGAAAATAACTATTATAAAATTAACTAAATATTTCTAAACATAGAATAGATATATATTAAATAAATTCTTGAAACGTTTATCAATTGTTTACATAAACTAAAAGTGACTCGTCCTAAGCGTAACCAACATAAAAATAATTAATCACAATGGAAACGAAATACAATCTATACAAAACTTTTACAATTAGTTTAAGTGAATTTCTTAAATGAATTTTAACTTTCGTTAGCTTTTCCCAAAAATATAAAGTAATTAAAACTCTTTAATTTAAACAAGGATTTGTATAGTACAAATCCTTGCCTGGTGTAAAACAAGAGAAAGTTCTAGTAAATATAGATGTTTATTTCTTGAAATCAGTAATCAAAGTGACCGTTGAAAACATAAATTGTTTCCATGCGGGCGTGGTCACATGATCACTGATTTCTTAACTTTCTCCTGTTTTCACCAATCAAAAATTACCTTATGAAGCTCCCTTGACCACAACCTATTTTCACTGGTTGGCCAATAATCAAGTCATGGGTGACAGGTGTTATTAACAATTTCACACATGAGTAATAGGAAAAGGTTGTTTAACAAAAGCCTTAATTTACATGTAAGGTACATAATCCAAAGTAAATAATTTAGCGCTTACATGTCTCTTTGTTATCCGTCTTAATTACGTAATCTAAATATTCAAGTTGTATGTCATTCTTCTTTATCAAAAATTAACATTCAAAAAATAATGTAACTTACATAAGGAGAAATTTTAGAAATAAAATAAAATTTTAAACTTCAAAATACTTTAACTCGAATTGTAAAAATTGAATAATTTTCACTTAAGTTTTGGTCGAGTTGTTATAGTAAAATTATGAATTGCCAAAGACAAAATTTTAATATAACATAAGCATGCAATTTATCAAGTACTTCCAACGAATTTTTGACACTCCAAAAGTAATTAATTCCACTATTTTCAAAGGCCTTATTTGAACAATTTATTACCAGGTTTTTGATTGTCCAAGTGTACTAGTAAGTAGAATAGATAGTTCAGTAGTGGAACAATGGCTTGAAGACAAAATAATTCTATATCTGTAAGGAGTTTTGTGCAGCTTCGGAAGCCAGTACATAGTTGAAACTTTCATTGTATTTGGTTCTGCTTAAGCTTGTAAAGAGGAAGCTAAAAGTTTATGTTTGTTACAGATGTCATTTTCCGAAAATGGAGTCAGTTGGAATGCGAGTTCTTTAAGCTTATGTTTGATACGGGAAATTGGGCTATTATGGTTGTTGTTAGGAGTAAAATGATCTTTAAAATGTTGAATACGTATATCAACTATGTTCATTACCGAATTAAAAAAAGAATCTAATGATTTCTTGTCAGCTTTTTCTCGTTTTATCCATTTAGAGCAGTAAGTACGGAGTGAGTCGTGGATGATGTTACGACACTCATTCCAATTAATAATTGATGGGGGACGATATTTAGTTCCTTTACTGAGGAATAAATAAATGCATGTTTAGTTTTAATTTTGATGTTGTTCAAGAGTTATTGCACTTTGGTCGCTCAAAACTATCTTTTTTGTGTTAGGGTCTGGATGGGGTTTACAGAATAGAGAATAATGGACAAAACGTTCAAAATAAAGGCCAAAAATAGGTAAAAAAATATAGAATAGAGAATAATAGGGTGCTTAAATATAAAGAATAGAGAAAAATAGGTAAAAAAAATAAAGAATAGAGATTAATGGGCAAAAAATAAAGAATAGAGATTAATGGGCAAAAAATATAAAGAATACAGGAAAATTAACTAAAAAATTAAAGAATACAGAAATGTAGGACCCCCATCCCGACCCTCATATATTGACTGACCTTGTAAACGAAACACATTTTTTTTAAAATTTTTTGTCAACATTAGTAGAAAAATATATTTAATTATGTCATTTACGCCCGTCTTACATCTACAAAGTGAGTAAACACCAATCCTTGACTTACCTGAGCATGCAAGCCAGATAAATACGGGGCGAGAGGAGCACGAAATTTATGACGCAGAATTATTTCTAAATCGTTGTTTCTGGTCTAAAAGAGCCATCGGAATAATCTTGACAGGGATGAGTCAACGTGCTGTTGGAAGACGTTTGAATGTTTGCATCTCAAAAATGAGTTATTGATTTCAACGCTCTACAGATTAATATGAACTGTAAAAAATTATTAAAAATCACCAAGCAACCAGCCAACCGCAAGTAACGACGCAGCGTCAACAAAATGAAATTAGACTACGCCATTTGCGGAATCGATTAGCGACGGCAACGGCAACCGCAAACCAAATGACTGGCACCATGGCAGAGAAATTGATGCTAGAAGAGTGTCACGTATACTGAAACGTCGACAAATCAACTGGTAGGAGACTCTATAAAGGATTGGTTTGGACTCTACGTCATAGACGAAATCGACAACAGTTAGCCACGCAAAAGTTGCAGCACCGAAGAAACTGGATCCGCCTGCTGTTTTCTAATGAATCACGGATTAATGTCAGTTTTTCGGACGTTAGAACGTGAATCGACAGAAGAGAAAATGAACGCTATATATATGCAGATAACTGTGTACTATAACGAGACATGTTTGAAGGCGGAGGTGTATTGAGCGTTATGGTATTGGGCGTTATTAACACCCATTTTCGAATACGGTTGCTAATTATTAACAGTACATTAACAGCTAGACACTTCATCGATTAAATAGTGAAGTCAGTTGTCGTTCATGAGCTACGACGTCATGGAAAGGTCAATCAATTGACATTCCAAAATGATAATGCGCATGCTCATACAACTAGATTGACTCAAAATTTTCTGAATGTAAATGGAGTGGACGTGCTTGAATTGTCTAATCTTTCTCAAGACTTAAATTTCATTAGACATATGTGGGATGAGTTAAGCAGGCGCGTCCGTTCGTGTTCGCATCCGCCGAGTACCCCCGATGAACTTGGATTCGCATTACAACAGATATGGCAAAACATCCCCCGCTGAACAGTCAGAAATCTTTGTCAATTTATGCGATAAAGATTGGTAGTATGTACTCCATTATTTCAATGTGGAAAATTGGGTCATTGGTTTCTTGATTGACACAAACGTTTGTCTGTTACGTCGAAAGAAAGATTAGATATTCGTATGTACCGTGAATTCATGTAAAAGATCCTTTATCAAATTTAATAACTGCAAATTTATTTTTTGGTGTTGCGTTTCTTATGTCCGTCAGTATACTAAGTTGTCGTATTCTTCTGACATTCTAACTTAATCTATTACATTTGAGACTTGCATAATAACATTTTGTTCGTTGAGCCTCCGAAATAAATCATTTTTACAGGTTTATACAAAGTTGGTGGATACAGTGAAATGACAGAAAAATATATGAAGGCTATCCCGAGTGAGCGAAATGATAACTCAACATGTGGTTTGCCTCGTAGTGACGCCTTTCATTTGTTTCTTGATGCTGATGGGACAGTGTTTCCGTGGCCAGGACTTGTGATGCAAGCAACAGTTGGATGCATATGGTATTGGTGCTTTGATCAGGTAAAGCTGGCATAGAGTCATAAACGTTCGGCCAAATTAAATCCCCAGTGTTATATGTATATTAATAGATATTGTTTTAAAATTTACGTAAAGCGAGCAGTTTATAGTATATCATAAATCTAAAAAGACTTGAAAGATCAGCCTGGAAACTGTTCAAAATCGATTTTTTTCAGTGGAATTCAAAATTTAAGCTAATTGATTTTAAAATATTTTTTTTTTTATTTTGTATTGTAAATATGCCTGAACGACTAGTACTTTAACGAAAAGCAATCAGTAATAAAAGAACAGAGTTCCAATGTCCCCCGCGTTGCACATATTTTATATTTCCATGGGGCATAACTCTTTTTAAAAAGTCGATCGTCCACCATATTAGAAATTGTCCGAGATATTGCTGATATCAATCTATAGTATAAGTTTTATAAAATTCTGACAAGAATTGTACCCGTGAGAGCGCTAACGAGACCATTTTCCATAAATTTGATATTTCCAAGGGCATAACTCTTTCAAAAAAGTCGATCGTCCACCATTATAAAACTTGTCCGAGATATTGCTGATATTAACCTATAGTATAAGTTTTTATAAAATTCTGACAAGAATTGAATCCGTGAGAGCGCTAACAAGGCCATTTTCCATCAGTTCAATATTTCCAAGGGGCATAACTCTTTTAAAAAAAGTCCACCGGCCACCATTATAGAACTTGTCCGAGATATTGCTGATTTTAACCTATAGTATAAGTTTTATAAAATTCTAACAAGAATTGTACCCGTGAGAGCGCTAACGAGGCCATTTTCCATAAATTTAATATTTCCAAGGGCATAACTCTTTCAAAAAAAGTTGATCGTCCACCATTATAAAACTTGTCCGAGATATTGCTGATATTAACCTATAGTATAAGTTTTATAAAAATCTGGCAAGAATTGTACCTGTGAGAGCGCTAACAAGACCGGACGGACGGATATACGGACACACGGACGGACGCACGGACGGACAGACACACGGACGGACGCACGCCCGGTATTTCCATGTCCCCCGCAATGCGTTACGCGGGGGACAATAAGTTATATCTCATAATCTTTAATGGATATAATGGAAATCTAGAAACTGGTCTAAGACATATCACAAAATTATCTTCCTCGACGGTGTATGTAAACAAAAACTTTAATTTGCAGGTGATGGTTCAAAGGACGATAGCAGCTAAAAATGTATCTCATACTAAAGGTGGTGTGCTGATGACTTGTTTCTTGAAGGTGCTGCCGCTCTTTACCATGGTTTTTCCTGGCATGATCAGTAGAATCCTATTTACAGGTAACTAGTGATTAAGGACAACTTTACATATGGTGATCTATAAAATTGAGAATTGGAAACAGGGAATGCGTCAAAGAGACAACAACCCGACCAAATAGCAGAAAACAGCTCAAGGCCACCAATAGGTCTTCAACACAGCGAGAAAATCCCGCAGCCGGAGGTGGGCTTCAGCTGGCCCCTAAACAATATTAGTTACATAGTGTGCTAGTGACCTATACGATATATACGGGTCAGTAAATTCCATATGGGATGAGAGCGAAACACTGTGTAACGAATTTATCTTACCGACTATCTTTATTTGTGGATTTTAGACTAGTGGCCTATTGTGGAGAGTTGTCTCATTTACAATCATACCACATCTTCTTATTTTTATATTAAAGTGTTCAAGTTTTCAAGTCTTCAATATTAAGAACCTACTTCCGTTGGTCTATACAAAAAGTTATGGCAACAATAACAAGTTAATATCAACAACCTTGATATAACAATATTAAACAGAACTTTCAATACATTAATCAACAGTACCAAAGTCCACATCTAACACATTTTTTGTGAACAAAATTGAAAAATCATAATTATTATAGTGTATGTGAAAAATAAATGATAATGTCAACATGACAAATGTGATATATTCATCAAAACTTCTTGTCGATGGTCAGATTATGTATTACAGTTACATTGCCATAGAAGATCTGACTCTGAGGTTTCGACTTTTGTCTTTTGCCTTTGTAACATATTTTAGTCCTGTCTTGTCAGTTTTAATTGTGAACGTAGTTTTAGTCATGGTGTGCATGTTTTCTATACCTCTTCTGCAAAAATAAAGTCTTATATCAAACTGTACTTTATTTGCCAGACCAGTTGGTTTGGTAGATGAAACATACATGGACGTATACAGTTTTTCACAATCCACTTCATTAATGATTGGATAATGCAATGTCATCCAGTTCAAAACATTTCACTTCTGCCAACACGGCTTTAAAGTTTGCGCTACTGTCATTAAATTTAGAATCCTTCACAATATCAAACGCTTTACTGTGAGGAGGAACCTTGCGGTATCTGATTATGCCATGTCTTATGGACTCCAGTGACGATGCTTTGTATCGCTCACCATCCGCTTTACGTAGATTGACATAAAAATGATACAGAGTCTCATTCAGCCGCACAGAATCAAATTTTTCAAAGTCATAGTCTTGTTATTTCTCCTGATGATAATCCCGGAGTGTATTTGTAGGTATCAAGGTATTTTCGGTTTTAACATTTAATCTTTTGGCATCAATTTCTTGATCTGTTGTGCTTGCAAATCGTTTCATACTTCTCGTCGACGCCATGATTAATATATAAAGGGACGTAACTCCACTACTAACCGTGTATTGAAAATAAGCCCCGCCTACTAACCTAATATGAAATATACACGGTCCCCCACGCGGACGCTTTTAACCAATGCTATTCCTAGAAATGCATAGGAGGTCAGATAAATGTGAATACTTTACTCAATTATATGTTTTTCATAATCCTAACTTCTAACTAATAATTTGACACGTATGAATTATGTTTTTTTTTTCAATTATTTAGCATTATATATTCTTTTATCAGATGAAGTTGGTTGTGCAGACACAGAAGTGTGTAAAAAGGTGTGTGATAATGAAGTTGGGTGTTCGAATATCGCTTATGCTAAACTTGTTATGGAAATTTTACCAAATGGTTAGTTTTGTATAAATACACATGTACATTATCAGGATTTCCACTAACAGCGTGACAAGACCCCAACATATTGATTGATTTTTGTCTGCTGCCATGCAAAAAAAAACCAGCACTAAATAAACTTGCCGGCAAAATTTTTAGATCTTAGTACCACATACCACATGTAGTATGTGCTATTTTGGTCTTTACTCTTTTAGGAACTATATATAAGTAACAGAATTGATTATTCAGGTTTGGGAGGGGATTAAAAATACTTAGTGTTGGCAAAAACCTTAATCTCACGTTAACCTAAAGAAATTTCATTAAATCTCAATTATCAAGTTTACCTTTGACCTAAAAAAGATCAATTTTATTGAAATTAAGTAAACCTGAAACTTAACCAACTTTAACAAATAAGTATACTTACACTAAAAATCTAGCTTCCCAAGGGGACAAGGGAATAGAAATATTGTCATTTTGGTCTGCTTTCGACCGGCATTCTAACCCTTGCCAATATTGGACGTCCGTTTGGATGTGTGGGATGTATAAATACGCAGCCACGTCCGGTCAGAATGGGGACCTTTAATCCAATGCCTTGTGTAGAGAGCGTGCTACGCTCTCTGCAGGTTAAGAACCCTTGTAACAACTCCAATGATTTAAGGGTTCGTAGGTTGCATGTTGCAAGGCACAATCTTGTCCTTATCCTATATACTCTCATTTTCCTTAGGCAGTCAAAATATTTCGGACGACCCACATTACAAGATGTACTTATCGTATTTATTGTTAATTCGTTCTCGTCATGAACTTGCGTGAACTATTTGTCATTGGACGGTAAGCAAAAAACTAATCAATCAATCAAAAGTATTGGGTTGGAAAATGTCTCACAGGTTTGAATCCATTATTTTTTGAGACAGAAAATCACATAATCACGAAATCAGATTAAAATATCAGATTGCTTAATTTCAGTTCATTTATTGATCAGAAATTAAGATCTATTGTTATAAATGTTATTTTTATCTAATTTATTATTGAAGAAATAATTCATGGGAGCCTAAATATATATTGATTTTACCACGGATTGACTATTTATTCAAAATATTTTACCTCGAACTATGGCCAGGGGTAAAATATCGGTATGGTGAATTTAATCTAAATTCAAGCTCCACCCTAAATTATTTCTATTTTATAAGAGAGGCGAAGGATACCAAAGGGACATTCAAACTCATAAGTCGAAAATAAACTGACAACACCATGGCTAAAAAAGAAAAAGACAAACAGACAAACAACAGTATCCAAAACACAACATAGAAAACTAAAGACTAAGCAACACGAACCCCACCAAAAACTTGGGGTGATCTCAGGTGCTCCGGAAGGGTAAGCAGATCCTACTCCACATATAAGACACTTACTATCATTTGTTTTTGGATCGTAATTTTACACACTAAATATTGACGTAAAAATCGAAGAAAACCGAATTTAATGGCATGCTTAAACGATTGTTCAGTTTCAGGCGGTTAGGATGCTCGTAAGGTTTTCGTAGTTCACAATTTTTACTGCCATCTTCGATTTTCTACTTATGTTTGACTTTCAAATTGAGCTGGTACCCAGTCTAAATATATCCTGAATGTTTAAGCAAGTATTTGTGTAAATAAAAAAAGAATTAACATATTCAATAAATCAGTTTTTTATTTAAGAAATTGTGTTTTGAACAAATTCATATTACCGTTTGCTTATATGTTTCTTTATTAATTCATAACGGCTTTTACGTGGAAGTTAATCGGAAAAGCCAAAACAATTTATGACGTTGCCGATCAGCTGACATACAGTATATTCGTATTTTGAAGAGCGTCATAATATAAGTTATATGGTTGGCTACTGACCCCCTACGGATTTATATAGGGTAGTAAAATCCATAGTGGGTGAGGCCGAAGGCCGAATCTCCTATTGATTTTAATAACCCTCTATGGTCCGTAGGGGGTCAGTAGTGAACCGTATAATGAATTTATCGCACACGGGACTTTTCCTGCCGCGTTTTGTAGAAAAATAAACAATGAAATACAACAACACAATATGACGTCACCATTAACAGTAAACGTGACGTCATGAACCCCATATGAAATCTACTGACCCCATACGGACCCATAGGGGGTCACCACGTGACGGCGTTAAACCAATCACAACGTCATAATTTATCCAAAGTGCGATAATAGAATGTTTGTGAGTGTGAATATAACAACAGATAATCATGTGGTTTTTTAAATGTTTCAGGACTACGAGGTTTTATGATTGCTGTGATGCTATCAGCTATTATGAGTTCCCTCACTTCAATATTTAACAGCGCAAGCACAATCTTTACTATTGACGTATGGCGGAAAATACGAAAATCAGCAGGAGAAAGAGAGTTGCTATTAGTTGGAAGGTATGGATTTATACCTGATTTGGTATAAATTTTCAAATTCATACAATATCGAAAGGAATTTTATGAATTATGTGGACATTTTGACAAAAGGTAGAGTCAATTTCCCTTGTTATTGTTTCACTCACGGCAGGTAAAAATCTTAATAGTTGTCAAATAAGAAATAACAGTAATGTATTGGAAGAGTTGCCTCCGTCAATTGGGTGTTTGACAGTCACAAATGCAGTTTTACTAGCGGCGTGGAGTAGACCAAGATTTAACAATATTTGAGACCGTCTACTCAAACTTCATCGGAAAATATTATCAAATTCTGATTTTCGATATCTTTCTCTTTTCTGCATTGCTAATTTTTTTAAAATGTTGACAGTTTTTACCTAATATAGTTTTCGAGATAATAGGCAAAAACTAAAACAAATAGTACAAAATCGTCGTTTAAGGGCAGTAACTCCTAATTATGATGTATCTGTACTAAAGCTAGTAAGGTCGTAAATACCTCGCATAAAATGACCTACCGGTATATGTACTAGTTCATGTAAGAGGGTTTTAGATGTTCGTTAATTAAGGAATATCAAATTTATACTCTGAAACGTTACGTATATTTTTGCTTTACACACTTTTTGTCTTGATGGTACCTGTTAAAGGTATTGGAGAAAAACATTTCATGACCAGGAAAATCGGTTTGATACGCCCTTTTACTAAAAACGCTTATATCAAACTTATGGAACGAGAAAGGTGTAATGTGCGAATAAACTCATCATAGATATTAGGCTTAAAATTTTTTACGCCAGACGCGTGTTTTGCCTACAGATACTCATCAGTGAAGCTCGAATCAAAAAAGTTAAAAGCGCCTAATAAAGTACGAAGCTGAAGAGCAGTTAGGACCCAAAATTCCGAAAGGTTTTGCCGTATACAGCTAAGGTATTCATTCCTGGAGTAGAACACCCTTAGTATTTCAATATGACAATAAGTTTTACCTCGTAAGTGCATTACTGATTTACCAGATTGCAAAATAGGTGACCGCTCAATGTATTAACAGCAAAAAAGTATGTCCTTGTCATAAGGTCTTGACAGATTCAGCTTGTCCGACTTAATGAGTTATTTCGCTTAGGAGAATTTTGAATAAAGTTGATAATTTCAAACAGATTCATACATCAACGTCATGAACAGTGCAGAAAAAAACACGATAATAAACAATGTCAAAAATGAAATTGTATCCCAAATTTCAATAAGTTAAAAAAATATCATTAACATTAAGATAATATTTCATTTAAAGAAGGCGACCGTTGTATAGTATCGAGAGGGTACATGATGGGGTCTTTTTTCAAAGACAAAATTAAGGACACTTTTAAGATTTTTTTGCTTTATGAATAATATGAGCTCGGAAAAAATGGTTCAAAAATACGAAAGCACAACATTTGGTTACATTTCAAACTGAATCATACTTTTGACTTCTATCTCCAGTTGAATCGAGTTTTTTTTTACTTCTAAATCAGCATTTTAAAGGAAATATAAAGAAGAAGAAATATAAAGCTATGACATACACCTTGAATGTGCTCATTATTGATCCTTTTTTATTTGTATACAATATATGTTTTTTTTTTATTTTGATCTTAACAAATTCAATAATTTGCAATTTATCAGGTTGTTTGTTACACTTATGTGTGGCATAAGTATCTTGTTTTTACCTCTTGTAAAAGCTGCCGAAGGTGGAATGGTTTTTGCCTACATAAATGCAGTTGACAGTATTTTGGCATATCCCATCGGCATGATGTTTCTTTTGTCCATATTTTGGAAAGGCGCAACCGAACAGGTATTTTTATGGTGTCTTCCTGCTATTCCTACATTTTAAAAATACATTTTCCTTCTATTCCTACAAACAAAGTACAATAGCTGTTGTTATAAGGTAATTTGTTGTTTTAGCAATTTAGATTTAATTGATTTACAGGTAAATAAGTGCAAAAGAAATGCACCTTTTTGTGTATCAATGAAGAATTATGATTATAGAGAAAATAAATTGCTTCACAGAGCGCAGCTGGATACAACCGCAGAGGTCCAACCCTGAACAGTTGGGGCAAAAATGGACGCAATATTCGCGCTTGATACAGGTCTGAATTTGGATTGTAATTAAATATTTGACACATAAAAGGTTTCTGACACAAAATAACTGTAGTCAAAGAACTCAGAATTGGTTATATGATTTGAATTTATATTAAATTTTTTGCTTTTGTGCAATACACTTTGCTGTCGCGAATTGACCGTCCCTCCCCCCACAAAAAAAAAATTGACCCCCCACCCCAGTTTTTTTTGGCTTTTGTGCAATACACTATGCTGTTGCGTATTAATTAAAAAAATGACTTTCTTTTTACCCCCCCCCCCCCCCCCGGCCCCCCTCTTTCCCCCAAAAAAATAATTACCCATTTAAATTTACCATAGTGCTAACTTAAAATAAAATTGAGAATGGAAATGGGGAATGTGTCAAAGAGACAACAACCCGACCATAGAACAGACAACAGCAGAAGGTCTATTTTATAATATGGTGTCAAATCTTTCATATGGATTTTTTGGTAAAAAAAAAAAGATGCAACATTTGCAGATATTGTTACTGGTCTTCCTTTATAAATATGCATTTCTTTAAACATTATTTAAAAGCAGTGTAAGGGAGGTAATCAAAACGTTGTATTTAGATTACCTCCCTTACACTGCTTTTAAATTGTCTTCATTGTTCATTAACCATTACTTTAGACATGATTTAAAAGCAGTGTAAGGGAGGTAATTCAAATGATGTATTTGAATTACCTCCCTTACACTGCTTTAAATTATGTTTTGTACTAAAGTATTTGTCCATTAACCAGGACACCCTTGTTTTTCCCCCTTTTTGCCCCTAATTCCTAAACATTTTGAGCCATAACCCCCCAAAGCAAATCCTAACCATCCCTTTGTGGTATAATTTCAGAGAGATCCATACAACGTTCCACAAGTTATTGTCTGGAAACTAGAAAAATGCTTATTTTTGGCCCCTAATTCCTTAACTGTTGGTACCATAACCCCCAAAATCAATCCCAACCTTCCTTTTGTGGTATTTAACCTTATGGTAAAATTCATAGAGATCCATTCACTTAAACTAAAGTTAGAGTGCGAAAACCAATGTGTCAATGGATATATTGCAGAGAATAAAATAGAAAATTAAATATAGAAATGTACTTTCAATTTATATAAAAGAGAATTCCAAGTTTTTCAAATATGAAAAATAATGAGAAAGAAAAGGCTTAATACAGCAATAAAAAATCTAATTGAATTATATATATTACACTTACAGTTTAGAATTCAAACCGTAATCTTAATAGATCGCCTTTATGCTAAGATTACTGCTACAAAAGTATATGTTGAATGTGCAATGCCAAATTTAAACTACACTTCATAACACTCAAAATAAGATAGATCACAGTACCCAGATGATGCATGATGCTAGAACCCATAGATAGGACCAATGCATATATTAGTCCCAGATTACAATGACTTTATAAAAGACTGATTGTGTAAAAGAAAATGAAAACAACACGTTAAATAATTTCATGAGTCCAAAGCGCTTTTCTGGATTTACCTTCATCAGGAACGCTCAAAGCCGAATATTTGAAAGCCGAGGATGTATAAGTACCGAAACCGTTGAAGAGCTTTATGACAAAAAATACCCAAAAATAGCCAAATCCATCTATGGTAAACTTTGCCTGAGGGATGTGAAACCTTAGTTTCTTTATAATTTAAAAATTTATAGACTAAACGGAAAATTTTAGAAAGGTTTGTTATAAATCATGTCAGTACCGAAATACTGACTACTGAGCTGTTGATACTTTGGTAATAAATTCTGATATTTTGAAGCCGTAACATATTTAAAAATATTCAGCATTTTTTTTAATTTTCAAATGGTTCATGTAACATATTTGGTGTAGAACTGAAATTCTTGCTTTATATGTACTGATTGTATGATAAATTCTCATATCTAATCATATTATATTGTCTAGTAATTTTGATATTTTTCTCTCATATAAAGGATAATATTTTTTTATTGTAGTGCTTAAAATATTTTATTGTGCTTAAATGATGCTAACGTCATTGTGTTAGTAAAATCTATTTTAGGGGACTTTGTACAAATTTGTTTTGATTTATTTTTGATGGATTCACTCAATGACAAAGACTTTTCATTACATTAGGAAAAACACACAACAGATTTGAAAAACGATAGAGAAATTAAATAAAACAGAATAAAGATAAAGAACAATTACAATGAACCAATAACATGCAATTGTTTGAACTTTTTTTTTATTTACACTTTCATAATATTTTTAAACTGGGCATTGATGAAAACTCCAGCAGTTATATGGATATTTACCCGAAGTTAATTAGCCTTATGTTTTTACAACCTCATCTGATTTAATCCCTTGTTTATTCAAGTATTCCTCCTATTCCTACATGGATTTCTTACAAATGACATACCAAATTTTAAAATGTAGGAATAGCAGGAATAAACCATTTTTATATGACAGTGTTTATTTAAGGAATAGACATACATTTACGTCAAACTTATTATATATATTTCTTACGCATTAGTTACATTTTTTTGTAGTTGTTCACATTTGAAATGGATACTTTATTTGACCAGACTCAAGCTAGCGACCAATTCTAGCGACCAATCAAGCTAGCGACCAATTCTAGCGACCAATAAAGAACACAATGAGAATCAACTTGTCTAAGAATCATTATGTGGTATATGAGAAAACCACAAAACCACATTATGAAACAACGTTCTGTTAAAAAGAAAATCTATCTACCAGTACGGTATACATATTGTTTTTAATGTTTAAATGACCAGAAATGTCCATCAAATTAAGGGAGAAGGGACACTACAATACGAATGACGTCTGTAGCTGAATGCACTAACTAGTTTGGTTGCTAAATGTCTGCATCAATATCAATGAGTAAAATATAACGTGCCAGAAAATCGTAAAAGTCAAAACAATTTAATACAATAGAAAAACAAAGGATATGGGGTATCCCTCCATGACATAAAATCAGTAAATGCACAGCGAAAAACACACAAAAAGCTAAGGAACATTCTTTGTTAACGAACTATTTTTATTCCCCTACATTCGAACACATACTATATGTTATCATATATGTATTTATATAAATAAAGGTGCGCCCCTCTCCGGAGTTTATTCTATCGGGAAAGGGACTAGTTAGGAAATAAAGTAATCCATATTTTGACGTCTTCTTTACGTTTTCTCTGTTTTCCAAACTCTAAACCGAGATCGCAAAGATAAATCAATTATTGTAAACAAAATATTAAAAACGGAGCGTATATCCCTCAAGCACATAATGGCTATACAATAGTACTTTGCGGTTTAGAAATCAGAATAAAAAGCCAAAGAGTTTTTAGAATTTGAATAATAAAAAAAAAACAAGAGTGTTTGTTTATGATGATTTGCTCGCACAATCGTTTTCAATATTCAGTGAACCGTAAATAATTTAAAAAGTACATATTTTAATGAATATGTGTACCTAGTTTCAAGTTGATCTGACTACAACGTCATCTTAGACTAGATTCAACACTAACGTCATTCTAATGCAGTATGAATGGACGGACAAACGGACGAATGAATTAACGAACGAACACAAAAACCAGATAATATTATGGGCTTTACTGTCGTAGGCGGAGCATAGAATAACTATCTAATGTGAGTTCACTTAAACTTGTTCCTTTGTACAATGTATCAGCTTTCAAATAAACGAAATAAGAAAAATATTATGTGCGAAAGAATAACTATATACTGGCTTTCCATACACTCGGCATCCTCAAATATCCTTTATTTTCTAGAAAAGGAACTTTTAATGTCTATTCCCTATACTGAAAATGAAAACATACAAAATAACAAACTGTAAGAGTACATTTCATGCCCACAAACAATATTTTGAATTGAAAGTATACGTGCACTATTTTGTACGGCATGCATCCTTACTTAAAAGAAATGTAAAGATTTTTTTGTTTAAAAAAAAAAACCGTACACTTTGAATGTCAACTTTGAACCCCTTCAATTCCCAGAAGGTCCTAACCCCCAAAAAATCATTTCAGTGGGTCCTGCTCTGATTCATTACCTTTCATTTGAGCTATGTCCGGTGTCGAACTTTGCTGTACTGAAGTGGCGAGACTTGCAGAAAGAATGTACGGTGGAAACGTAAAAAAAAAATAATACCAACTTTGAACCCCTTCAATTTCCAGAAGGTCCTAACCCCCAAAAAATCATTTCAGTGGGTCCTGCTCTGATTCATTACCTTTCATTTGAGCTATGTCCGGTGTCGAACTTTGCCGTACGGAGCTGGCGAGACTTGCCGGAAGAATGTACGGTGGAAACGTAAAAAAAAAAATAATACCAACTTTGAACCCCTTCAATTCCCAGAAGGTCCTAACCCCCAAAAAATCATTTCAGTGGGTCCTGCTCTGATTCATTACCTTTCATTTGAGCTATGTCCGGTGTCGAACTTTGCCGTACTGAGCTGGCGAGACTTGCAGAAAGAATGTACGGTGGAAACGTAAAAAAAAAAATAATACCAACTTTGAACCCCTTCAATTTCCAGAAGGTCCTAACCCCCAAAAAATCATTTCAGTGGGTCCTGCTCTGATTCATTACCTTTCATTTGAGCTATGTCCGGTGTCGAACTTTGCCGTACTGAGCTGGCGAGACTTGCAGAAAGAATGTACGGTGGAAACGTAAAAAAAAAATAATACCAACTTTGAACCCCTTCAATTTCCAGAAG